GTGATTGAACCATGCATTAAAAAAAAAGCAGTCAAAACATGCAGTTTATAAATTATGACCTTCTCACCCTTATCTGGCGAAATGGTATAGTCCATCCATTGAAAATAGGATCAAACCATTATAAAGGGAGGTGAATTAGGTGCAGTGAAAAAAAAATACACAACATTCAAAAATTGATAGGCATTAAAAAACTACTAGAGGTACATGCAGTGGATATGTTGGAAAAAAAGATTACATTTATTTAATGAACTGCCTTTAATTTATACATTTATAGTTGCACAAACCAAGGGCAATAGTAACTGTACATGTCAAGGTCAATAGTAACTGCACAAATCTAGGGCAATAGTAACTGTGCATATCAAGGTCAATAGTAACTGCACAAATCAAGGGCAATAGTAACTACAAATCTAGGGCAATAGTAACTACAAATCAAGGGCAATAGTAACTGTACAAATCAAGGGCAATAGTAACTGTACAAATCTAGGGCAATAGTAACTGTACAAATCTAGGGCAATAGTAACTGCACAAATCAAGGGTAATAGTAACTGTATAAATCTAGGGCAATAGTAACTATAAATCAAGGGCAATAGTAACTGTACAAATCTAGGGCAATAGTAACTGTATAAATCTAGGGCAATAGTAACTGTACAAATCTAGGGCAATAGCAACTGCACAAATCAAGGTCAATGGTAACTGTATAAATCTAGGGCAATAGCAACTGTACAAATTTGGGCAATAGTAACTACAAATCTAGGGCAATAGTAACTGTATAAATCTAGGGCAATAGTAACTGTACAAATCTAGGGCAATAGTAACTGTATAAATCAAGGGCAATAGTAACTGTATAAATCTAGGGCAATAGTAACTATAAATCAAGGGCAATATTAACTGTACAAATTAGGGCAATAATAACTGTACAAATTAGGGCAATAGTAACTACAAATTTAGGGCAATAGTAACTGTACAAATCTAGGGCAATAGTAACTGTATAAATCTAGGGCAATAGTAACTGTACAAATTAGGGCAATAGTAACTGTACAAATCAAGGGCAATAGTAACTACAAATCTAGGGCAATAGTAACTATAAATCAAAGGCAATAGTGACTGTTCAAATCAAGGAAAATAGTAACTGCACAAATTAGGGCAATAGTAACTGCACACATCAAGGGCAAAAGTAACTGTACAAATCTAGGGCAATAGTAACTGTACAAATCTAGGGCAATAGTAACTGTACAAATCTAGGGCAATAGTAACTGTACAAATTAGGGCAATAGTAACTGTATAAATCTAGGACAATAGTAACTGCACAAATTAGGGCAATAGTAACTGTATAAATCTAGGACAATAGTAACTGCACAAATCTAGGGCAATAGTAACTACAAATCTAGGGCAATAGTGACTGTTCAAATCAAGGAAAATAGTAACAACATAAATCAGGGGCAATAGTAACACCACAAATCTAGGGCAATAGTAACTTTACAGATCTTGGGCAATAGTAATTGCACAAATCAAGGGCACTAGTAACAATACATCAGGGGCACTAGTAACTGTACAAATTAAGGGCACTAGTAACAATACATCGAGGGCAATAGTAACTGTACAAATCAGAGGCAATAGTAACAATACATCAAGGGCAATACTAACTGTACAAATCAGGGGCAATAGTAACAATACATCAAGGGCAATTGTAACTGTACAAATTAGGGCAATAGTAACTGTACAAATTAGGGCAATAGTAACTACAAATCTAGGGCAATAGTATTTTTACAGATCTTGGGCAATAGTAATTGCACAAATCAAGGGCAATAGTGACTACACAAATCAGGGGCAATAGTCACTGTACAAATTAAGGGCACTAGTAACAATACATCGAGGGCAATAGTAACTGTACAAATTAAGGGCACTAGTAACAATACATCGAGGGCAATAGTAACTGTACAAATTAAGGGCACTAGTAACAATACATCGAGGGCAATACTAACTGTACAAATTAAGGGCACTAGTAACAATACATCGAGGGCAATACTAACTGTACAAATCAGGAGCAATAGTAACAATACATCGAGGGCAATAGTAACTGTACAAATTAAGGGCAATAGTAACAATACATCGAGGGCAATAGTAACTGTACAAATTAAGGGCACTAGTAACAATACATCGAGGGCAATAGTAACTGTACAAATTAAGGGCACTAGTAACAATACATCGAGGGCAATACTAACTGTACAAATCAGGGGCAATAGTAACAATACATCGAGGACAATAGTAACTGTACAAATTAAGGGCAATAGTAACAATACATCGAGGGCAATACTAACTGTACAAATCAGGGGCAATAGTAACAATACATCGAGGGCAATAGTAACTGTACAAATTAAGGGCACTAGTAACAATACATCGAGGGCAATAGTAACTGTACAAATCAGGGGCAATAGTAACAATACATCGAGGGCAATAGTAACTGTACAAATTAAGGGCACTAGTAACAATACATCCAGGGCAATACTAACTGTACAAATCAGGGGCAATAGTAACAATACATCGAGGGCAATAGTAACTGTACAAATTAAGGGCACTAGTAACAATACATAAAGGGCAATACTAACTGTACAAATCAGGGGCAATAGTAACAATACATCAAGGGCAATAGTAACTGTACAAATTAGGGCAATAGTAACTGTACAAATTAGGGCAATAGTAACTACAAATCTAGGGCAATAGTAACTTTACAGATCTTGGGCAATAGTAATTGCACAAATCAAGAGCATTAGTGACTACACAAATCAGGGGCAATAGTAACTGTACAAATTAAGGGCACTAGTAACAATACATCGAGTGCAATACTAACTGTACAAATTAAGGGCACTAGTAACAATACATCGAGGGCAATAGTAACTGTACAAATTAAGGGCAATAGTAACAATACATCGAGGGCAATAGTAACTGTACAAATTAAGGGCAATAGTAACAATACATCGAGGGCAATACTAACTGTACAAATTAAGGGCACTAGTAACAATACATCGAGGGCAATAGTAACTGTACAAATTAAGGGCACTAGTAACAATACATCAAGGGCAATAGTAACTGTACAAATTAAGGGCAATAGTAACAATACATCAAGGGCAATAGTAACTGTACAAATTAGGGCAATAGTAACTGTACAAATTAGGGCAATAGTAACTACAAATCTATGGCAATAGTAACTTTACAGATCTTGGGCAATAGTAATTGCACAAATCGAGGGCAATAGTGACTACACAAATCAGGGGCGATAGTAACTGTACAAATTAAGGGCACTAGTAACTGTACAAATTAGGGCAATAGTAACTACAAATCTAGGGCAATAATAACTTTACAGATCTTGGGCAATAGTAATTGCACAAATCAAGGGCAATAGTGACTACACAAATCAGGGGCAATAGTAACTGTACAAATTAAGGGCACTAGTAACAATACATCGAGGGCAATAGTAACAATACATTGAGGGCAATAGTAACAATACATCGAGGGCAATAGTAACTGTACAAATTAAGGGCAATAGTAACAATACATCGAGGGCAATAGTAACAATACATCAAGGGCAATAGTAACGGAAATTTAAATAGTTAAAGTAGCACTGACAAATAAGAAGGAATAAAACAGAAAAAAACGTTAAGGAAATTTTACATCTAGAATTATTATCATGTACCTGTTTCCAAAACTAGAATGACAGAGGAAGAGAGATTAAAAGAATCAATCAATCAATCAATCAATTAATTAATTGATTGATCAGTTTTAAGAAACAGAATAAATTTTCATACTTTCCAACATCAGAGCTATATGGTGACAGTAATGGGATTATTTTTGTAATTTGGGAATGTTTTAAATTTAAAAAAAAATTATGCTAATTACCAAATTTATGCTAATGATCAAATTTATGTTAATTACCAGTAGAATTTCATATTGTTTATGGATTTTAATTGATATTCTTGACATACACAAAAAAATGTTGATAGAAAGGCACTATTTTTGTGGAAGGTTACAAAAAGAAATGTAGCAGTGAAATGGTCAAAAAAGTACAGTGAAGAGACTCATAACAATTTAAATAGCGATCAGTGATGGCACAAAAACTAGTTCTATAAAAGGAACGTAACTTGTACAAATTGAAACGTATCGCTATTGTATCGTATACTATCAAGTAATCTGAAAGGATGGTTGTCTATTTGTTTAAATGTTTGTTAATTCATTCCTCCAGTGTAAACTTCTGACCAACGGAAATGTGTAAAGGATGAAGAAAGATATAGACTCTACCTTTTGGTTTCCCTGGAAACGAGATGAGATGATAAAGATGAGATGAATTAGCAAAAAGGAAGGTGAATAAAATACAATCAAGTTTTACCCCTCATTGATTCTACTGAAATAAACTATGTAACACAGGAACAATTTAACCTTTTCACCGCCAGTCCCCTCTTTTTATCACAAACTCACAAAATAGGCTCAGTTATAGTCTGCACTTTCCTTCAGAAGATTGGGACAAAATTAGCCAAATGTTTTGAGTAAAAACTGAAAATTGACTCAAATTTTGTCTGTTGGCTCCAAAATATTAGGGTTTATTTCTAGAAATATTGAAGTATAAAAGAAAAAAGTGTGCATAATAATTTGGGCGAGAAAGTTTTGGGGTGAAAAGGTTAAAATTGCATATCCACTATGTATTCTAGGCAGAACATCAGCCACTGAGTGTTTTGATCAACATGCAAAATGATAAAATCAGTTGCTATGGCAACAAATTCTGATTCGAGCACTGAATCTAGCCTTGCAAGAAACGAGATCATGAAAATTTTAACTACTGAATCAATCATTCAGGGTCGTTTGCATGTCGCATTTTCACGTTCTCATGATTTATAATTAGCAGTTGAAAAAAAAAAAACGAAAATCAAAACTCACATCACTGAAAAATTCCTAATTTACAGTATATATTTATGCAAATAAAATAGAAACAAAATGGTAACCATAACTACCTTGATCGGATTCAGAACTCGGTTCCGGCGAATTGACAGTTACGATGGGAATCATTTCTTGATTGGCTTCTTTGTTCTTGTTTCCACCGAACAGATTCTTCACCGAGTTCAGGAATCCGCCCGTATTCTTGACACTGCCCGCACTCTTCTTAAAAAGCAATGATTCGCTGCCATCTTTAGCGTCACTCTGTGAATTCTCGTTCACGTCTGGGACGAGTAGCGGTTTGAGTAACTCGGACGCTAAAAAAAGATACATTGTACATGTCACCTTTAATATATGCAACTGATACTGTGAGTTTTATTCTCACTATTTTTGCTAATAAATGAAATTGACTACTGTAGAATACTTTATTTTCGCTTGGAATTTATTTTCGCTATTTTCGCTGAAGGGATGATTTCGTGAAAATAAAATCCAGCGAATATACTTTTTTTCCTATATTTCACATTAAACTCGTCAAAAATCAGTGAAAATATATTCCATACACAACGCCCAAAAAGCCTTTTCAGCGAAAATTAATTCCAGCGAAAATAAAGTATTCCACAGTATATTAAAAGAATATGAACATGTAAAATAATAATGAAATGTATCGTGTGTCATTCCCAAATGATGAACTCAAAAGCAAAGAGTTCTATTTGCATCCCCACCCCTAACCCCAAATCTAACAGTAACCCTCACCCCAAGCCCTCCAATTCAATTGTAAATGCCCACTCTAGATAAATACAATTGCCCTTAGGAAGAGTATATACAATTAAATTGCTGGAGTGCTGGAGGATAGGGGTAAGAAAAGTGTTAGGGATGGGGAATGCAAAAGAAAATCTTTCAAACTCAGAATCCAGTAGATGTTTTCAAAACATTAAAATAGTGAAAATAAGTGGTTAACAGTATGCCCCACCAGTTTACCCGTTAATTTAACTTTAGAAAAATCAAATCTAGAAATAAATATTTCTAATTTTGTAAAATTAAAGTAAAATTTTGACTTTTTGAGTTTTTCACTCACAGACTCTGCAGTTCAACACAGTTTCTGTCAGAGACAAATAAATGTACTGATTGGCATTGACGCTGCAGTTCGGCGTCTTCTACACCGATCTGACGCATATTGCGCAAGGTGTGCCGGGAGTTTGTTCGAAATTTCGTACGTTTCGAAGTCAATTGTTGATTGCCACGTATTTTACGGATATATTAAATCATTTCAGAGACCTATTTACTAAATAATGATAAATGAAACTTAGAAAACTTGTAAGAACAAACTGGGCCCAAATTGCGCAAATTGCAATAAGTTTACGCTGCTAGAGTCTGGTTCGGATGGAGTTCTACGCGTGATTTTACTGCGCTCAAGGACGTTCTATTTTCGAACTAGTTGAAACCGGAAATAACGCAACTACTTTCGAACTTCAAACACAAATTTGATTATCGTTATTATGTGTTTCTGTTGTTTCAAAGATTGAATTATGTATGACAATAATATTTCACTCTATAAACAATATTTCACTAAAATATGTGATTCAAACAAAGGCAACCCAAATTGTAAAAAGCAATATCAAGTTCCGCATATAAACACTGTTGTAAAGAGGCGGCGGAGCAGAATTTTAGCCAAAATCGGCTAGTAAGGCGTCATATGACACAGGTTTGTGCTGGGACAGCGCTTCCGGTGACGACACAACGGAGGGACTGGTTCTTATATAGAGGTGGGTCACTATAGACAGGTGGTCTTTATATACTGACACAGGTTTGAGTGTGCTGTAGGGATTACTTACAGTGGGAGGAACCAAGATCATGTTCATAAGCTGAGTTATTAGAATTAATAGCTCCGTCTGGCATGGAAGTAGACGAAGCTAGGCTACTGCTGGATATATTCTTCTTCATTCCAGTATTCTCAACTAAAAATACAAAAAACAAAAACAAAAAAAAAACAAAAATTATAAAGTATCTAAAATATAAAATTATATCTTTTGTGAACTTTCCTGAAATTTCATAAAAGTCAGGTTGTGTAAAGGATGCTAAAAATATTCAGTTCTACTGAAAATTTTAATAAAAATGTGTCTTTTCAGAGACAAAAACAAATTCACTATCAATCAGCTTTTTTTTTTAAATGCAAGCAAGCTACTTTATTACATGATTGTATCTGATTGGCTACTGGGCCCTAACATCTACCAGACAGACCAATCACAGAGCAGCTTGTTTGTTGACAGGCAAGCTACTTTACATGATTGTATCTGATTGGCTACTCGGCCCTAACATCTACCAAACAGACCAATCACAGAGCAGCTTGTTTGTTGACAGGCAAGCTACTTTACATGATTGTATCTGATTGGCTACTCAGCCCTAACATCTACCAAACAGACCAATCACAGAGCAGCTTGTTTTTTGACAAGTATTTTTGACAAATAAAATTTAGGCTTGTATGTTAAAAAATTACTGCTGTAATAGAACAATAATTCCAGAAAGCACCAGGATGTATGCCAATTCGGTGTGCTCTGATTGGCTTGGCAGGTAGGTGTTAAGGTTCTGTAGCCAATCAGATACAATCTTGTAAACATTTTCATAACTAACATAAGAGGAGAAATTTGATTGGCTATAATTTGTGTAATAAGACATTTGTATCCAATCAGCAACAACCTTATAATTTTGTAGCCAATCAGCAACAACCATCTAAGTATTAGATGAATAAATTGAGATCTACCTTTATTATCAACTTTAGTATTTTTATTCAGATTATTTTCATTGACTGTGTGGCTGTCTGAAGTTTGAATGCTGTATGTAGTAGACACAGACATCGTCTCACCACTGTTAGCACCGTGAACTTTACCTGACAAGAAAAAACAAAATATCAGATGGTAACATGAGTTGTCAATGATCACGACAACCACAAGGACAGACATCTGCCCTGCTATTCCTTGCTGTCTAGATTTATTAAAGGAAAATATGGCATTGACAAAAATTGCAGATGTATATCCATATAGTCATGATCATCTTGGAGAATCTGTTCAAAATCATTATCATAGAGAGTCTGGACCATCTAACTGCACTGTAATTGTCAATAGACTCCCTAAGCATAAGAACACAGTTTGAGACCTTTAACCTAGAGGGTCTAGTCCACCCAACTGCATTGTAATTGTTAATAGACTCCCTAAGCCTTGTAACACAGTTGGAGACCTTTAACCTAGAGGGTCTGGTCCATCCAACTGCACTGTAATTATTAATAGACTCCTTAAGCCTTGGAACACAGTTTGATACCTTTAACCTAGAGGGTCTGGTCCATCCAACTGCACTGTAATTGTTAATAGACTCCCTAAGCCTTGGAACACAGTTTGAGACCTTTAACCTAGAGGGTCTAGTCCACCCAACTGCATTGTAATTGTTAATAGACTCCCTAAGCCTTGGAACACAGTTTGAGACCTTTAACCTAGAGGGTCTGGTCCATCCAACTGCACTGTAATTGTTAATAGACTCCCTAAGCCTTGGGAAACAGTTTGAGACCATTAGCCTAGAGAATCTGGTCCACCCAACTGCACTGTAATTGTTAATATACTCATTAAGATTTGGAACAGAGTTTGAGACTTTTAACCTAGAAAGCCTGGTCCATCCAACTACACTGTAATTGTTAATAGACTCCCTAAGCTTTGGAACACAGTTTGAGACCTTTAATCTAGAGGGTCTGGTCCACCCAACTACACTGTAATTGTTAATAGACTCCCTAAGCCTTGGAACACAGTTTGAGACCTTTAACCTAGAAAGCCTTGTCCATCCAACTGCACTGTAATTGTTAATAGACTCCTTAAGCCTTGGAACACAGTTTGATACCTTTAACCTAGAGGGTCTGGTCCACCCAACTGCACTGTAATTGTTAATAGACTCCCTAAGCCTTGGAACACAGTTTGAGACATTTAACCTAGAGGGTCTGGTCCACCCAACTACACTGTAATTGTTAATAGACTCCCTAAACTTTGGAACAGTTTGAGACCTTTAACCTAGAGAGCCTGGTCCACCCAACTGCACTGTAATTGTTAATGGACTCCCTAAGCCTTGGAACACAGTTTGAGACCTTTAACCTAGAGGGTCTGGTCCATCCAACTGCACTGTAATTGTTAATAGACTCCCTAAGCCTTGGAACACAGTTTGAGACCTTTAACCTAGAGGGTCTAGTCCACCCAACTGCACTGTAATTTTTAATAGACTCCCTAAGCCTTGGAACACAGTTTGAGACCTTTAACCTAGAGGGTCTGGTCCATCCAACTGCACTGTAATTGTTAATAGACTCCCTAAGCCTTGGAACACAGTTTGAGACCTTTAACCTAGAGGGTCTAGTCCACCCAACTGCATTGTAATTGTTAATGGACTCCCTAAGCTTTGGAACACAGTTTGAAACCTTTAACCTGGAGGGTCTGGTTCACCCAACTGCACTGTAATTGTTAATAGACTTCCTAAGATTTGGAACACAGTTTGAGACCTTTAACTTAGAGGGTCTGGTCCACCCAACTGCACTGTAATTGTTAATAGACTCCCTGAGTCCTGAAACACAGTTTGAGACCTTTAACCTAGAGGGTCTGGTCCACCAAAGCACCATGCATCAGCCCACAGGTCAAGACCATCAACCTAGAAGAGTCTGAACCCCCTAACTGCACTTTAATTGTTAATGGACTTCCTAAATGTTTATAATTGAACTTCTACACAAATCATGATTAACATTATTCCGTTATATGCTGCAATGAAACTGAACATCAGCATCTTGTATTGAACAACATCTCAAAATTTGAACATGTGGTCAACCTTAGTGAGTCTCACCTTTAGAGTGTTCAGTAGATGCAGCGTTGGTGCTCGTCGAATTCTTAGGTGTTCGATTACCGCCACCTAATAATAGATAAAACACACAAAAGTCACACAAATTTTACATAATATACATGCAAGATCAAACTTGGTCAAAATATTCAACCAATAGACAATTTGCAGGTTTCAAGAGTGTGTTGTACGTTAGTTTTGTTAGCAATTCAGCAGACTTGTTCGATGTTCGTGTATGCAGAGAATTATCAATAGCTCAAGCTTAATCAAATTTGTACATAGCAGCTTAGGGTTCACAGTGGTATTATACCAAGAATGTTTATCTTATGTTAACTAACTACAATTATGAAAATTACAAACAGCAGACAATTAAGACGGAATGGGTAAAAATACCATGTGACACAAAAACACAACAACAACGACAACAACGTGAACAGGTCAGACAAATGTCATATATGTTCATTAAGAAAATATTCAAGTTGGAAAATGATCTGCTAAAAGTAATTCTAGGCATTGAGACAACAACAAATGTTACTGGTCACTGGTAGCATAGTGGTTGTCGCATCAGACTCATGGCCGGTAGACCCAAGTTCAAATCCTACTTTAGGCTGAACATCTATCCCTACCCTGGGTGAATGTGCCACAGACTCGATGGGAAGGCCTATTCCACTGGCCGAGATTTATTCACTCACGAATGCGACTTTGGGAGAACATTGGTTAAGGTCCACAGGTGCTTGTGTTCGACTGAGCCTGGTCGATGCCAGGATAGCGCATTAAAATTGCCATTTGATAGGAAGATGGCCGCACAGCCCTGTCATGTTGTCCCAAATATGAATATGACTTCTGTGGCTAAAATGCACTATGTGTCAGCACTAGCACTTGCAATTGCACATACAAACAAAATCAGGAGAGACAACAGTGACTTCCAATGTCGCCTGGCACAAAAATTTAAAAAAAAACAAAAAAACGCAACAAAAAAACACCAACAACGTAGACAGGTGACGGATGTCACTTGCATGAAGAATGAAGGGACTGAGCTTTCTGCTCAAAGTTCACAAAAACAGAGGGAGTAACACCATACAATAGAATAGCTTCATTTAAACTCTCGGAGAGCCAAGTCATCTGTCACCTTCCATTAAATAAACATGCATAAACATATGCATTTTTTCCCCGTAAATTTTGATCCATATATATCCATATATCCATTATATAAAAAATACATAAAAAATGTGCAAAATGCTGCAGCACAATTATTTAGATTAGACATAATGCAGAGTTCAGTTTAGACAGAGTTCTAGTTCAAACAGGATTCATTTTACAAAGTGTTGAGTTTGACTCGGAGAGTTTCAAGTTTAAACTGGTTTCAAAACACAGGGTTTCAATGGTTAAGTTTAAAAAGGTTTCCAAGTTAACATCAGTTCCAGTTGTATTGAAGATGTTGAATAAAAATGTCTATTTCTGGCAGAAACAAAACTAACCATTTATAATAGCAAACACACAAAAGAAAGAAAAAAAAAATGAAACATACCTTTTTTATTTTTGTCATCTTTTGATAAATTAGCAACTGATCCATTTTTCTTTTGACTTTTATTACTCTGTATGGATGTTCCGGTGAATGGACGCGGCTTGCCTTTTGCAGTTGGTTTTTTATCCAGTTTATTGCTTGGTTTGTTCGTTCCTACGTCTGTTTCTTTTTTTGTCTGAGAGGATCGTTTCGCTGATGATTGTCTGGATGATGTTTTAACGGAAATATCATCTCGTGGGGAATCTCTGCCATTTTTGTTATTAACATTTTCGGACTCGTTTTTTTTCGTATTCTCGTTATCAATCTTTGATTCACTTTTCACGTTCTTATCTTTCACTGGTGCGTCAATTTTTGGAGTTGCGTCAATCAAACCAGATGCCTCGCTTTTTTTGTTTGCGTCCACAGAATGAGCAGGTACAACAATTGGCTCAACCATGTCATCGGCTGTGTGTATTTCAGCAGCGGTTGTCAGTTTCATGGAACTTTCAGTTTTTATTTTCGTATCCATGTTGCTTACTGGCGTGTTTGCTGCTGCAACGACTGGAACATTTATTGGAGGACTTTCCTTGACGACCGTCTTTTCAGCGGCTGACGTTTTGTCTATTATTTTCATTCCTTCATCGCTGTGCATTGTTTCAACAGGCACAGCAATCGCGATGCCTTGTTTCCTATTAACAGCCGTACCACTTTTTTTCTCTTCAGTTCTATCAGACTCCTTCTCCCTCGGCGACTCCGGAATTTTCGAATCTGTCACTTTTTTTTCTTTAGATTCAGTTTCCTTACGAGGTGCAGTGCTAGTAATTTCCTTTTTCGTTTCTTGCACTGTCTTTTCTCTTGGCGAATCCAGTGCTTTTTTGTCTAGTGAGGTGGCATGAGCTTTCTTTTCACGTGGAGATTCCACTTTTTCTTTATCAGCTAAGGAGCCTGTGCCTTCTGATCCGATTGTGAAGTCAAATCGTGACTTTCTATTGGCTGTTGGTGTTGCATTACCCCCTAAAATGGTGAAAATTGCAGTGGAAAGAAACAACAAACAAACAAACAAGATTTATTATATCAGTGATAGATGGATTAAGTCCTGTTCTATTCTATAGATTCCTATAAAAATTTCATGGAATTTTTAAAAATCCTATAGAAAACTTTAGAATTTAATGGAGCTTTGGCAAATTATCCATTAAATTCACAATATTGAAATTGAATTCACAATATAGTATTTTTATAGAAGAGACATTTTAAGATAACAGTGACATTTTACCAACAATGAACAACAGTATGCATTTTTCAAACTGTCAAAAAAATAGTTAATGATCACAGACAGAAACGCTACAGACAACGATAACAATGACAGACCTTTACCCACAATGGAATATATCTCACACAAACTCTAAAAATAAAAATTTTGTTAGTGAGCACAGATCAGACAAAAACACTACAGACTATGATAACAATGAAAAACCTTTACTCTCAATGGGGAACAACAGAATGCACTTTTTAAACTCCCTAAAATTAAAAAACAAAAACAAATTTGGTTAGTGTGCCACACAAACGCTACAGACAACGATGACACTGACAGATCTTTACCCACAATGGAAAACAACAGTGGAATATATCTCACACAAACTCTAAAAAAAACAAATTTTGTTAGTGAGCACAGACCAGACAGAAACGCTACAGACAACGAAGACACCGACAGACAGTTACCTCTTAGGTGTGATGTATTCTTCAAAGATGAAGGGCTTTGAAATTTACCTGCAATAGCGTTTGTCACGGTTATAAATTCTTACAAAAATATGGCCAGCATGACCTATTAAATAGATTTTAACTAAGTTTTGGTCTCTTTTTTTTATAAAATGTTTATGAAATTGAGTAGGATATGGGAATTTGCAAAACTTCTGCAGAAAATCTTCTAGACAATTACAATCCATTAATTTTCGATCAAAATCTATGCAATTCAATGGAAATTATTCAGATAATTTCCATAAATTTTTTTTAGGAAATTTCATGAGTAAATGAAAATCAACAAATTTTGTAATAATGAAATTTTTTTTTGGAGTGCTGTTCTGCGACATGAAGAGTCAGTAATTTTCGCAAAATATTGTCTTCCCGAATGTAATAAAATGCAAGTTTTAAATTTTGTTACCGGAAAAATATCTAAAAACTACACCCATCTCGAATCAATCATAGATATTCACAGCTAAGTTCAAAAATGAGATATCTGGCTGGATCCAGAACACAAGGCTGTGCCAACCTTTCCCAAGTAAAACAGAATGAAAACGCTCCTATACTGTGAGTTGTCGTTTAAAAGGTAGCTGTTGTCGCGCTGCGCATGTTCAACATTTGTGTTGATAAACATTGAATTTCCCACAATTCAATGTGCTCTTCTAATGGAAATCACAAGTATGAGGTTTGACCTGGGCGTGACTTACACTAATTACCGACGGTGACTCCTTCAATACCTTCCAATCACATGAAAATTACCTAATTAAAGCTTGGTAATGTCTCAGTTTGTACTCGTTGATCTGCGCAACAGTCAAAGTCGCCATCTTTGTTTATATAATATGAGACCCATATAACTCACGCAAATTATAAAATGATCGGGAAATCAGCCATAGAAGTATAAAGATATTTTCCACACTTGAATGCACGTAACCAACGACAAAGACAAAATTTTTCAGAGAATAAAATAAAAACATCTCACCAGCATTTCCTGAGCTGGAAGTAGTTGCAGCATTTGTAGTACTTGGATTCACCGCAACCTCCTCTTTAATCTCAGTGCCCCGGATCCTGCTCGACTTCGGTCGTAGCCTTCCACTGATTGGACGCACCGGTGCATGAATCATTTCCGGCTTCCCAGTCGCTGGATCTAACATTATCATTTCGGCCCTTTCCAAAAAGGTCATGAACTCTGGCCAACTAAAAGCGAGGGAAGAGCATTCACGGATGAGCAAAGAAGATTGTCGCCATGGAAACTCTTCCCTCGCCCCTGGTCCACTCGGATTTCAATTGTACACGTAAGCGAGACAGATGACGTGAACACAAAATACAAGATAAGCAAGACTTGTTAGTGTTGATTTGATTTGTTGATGTTGAGAAGATGAGTGTCGTCATGGCAACAGTGACACTGCATCATTACATGCATTCGTGAGCGAAGTAAAAGATGAAAGTGAAAGACTAGTGGATAGAAAGAGTTTTTTGTAAGATGTTTTTAGTTGAAAGCATTGAGACAGATTTCACACACTGTATTGATGATGGCTTTCTTGGAATCTTAGCGGAACCGATGTTGGGCAGAGTCGTGACTTTTACGGAAAGGCAACCACAGGAGGAAAAAAAAATTAAAAAAAGCGATTGTGTTTTTTTTTTCTTGTCGGAATTTCATACTTCATATGCATATCACATTCACAAAATTTAATTCAGCTACATTTCTGATTACCATATTTGGAATTTCATACCTTATTTGCATATCACATGCATATAATTAAATTCAGAAACTATTGATCACCATATTAGGGAATTTTTACCTTATTTGCATATCACTCCACATATACATTACCATATTAGATGACCTGTTCACCATATATGGTCAACATATTACCTTATTTGTCCATTCTTCTCATCATCACATCTGTTCAGTAAACTATTTAGTAACCCACCATGTACTGGTAAATGAAATTCTTCACAAATTTTTTTCATCTAAAAAATAATTGTGAGAATACAATTTTAAGGAAGAAAAAAAAAATTAGGAAAAAATACAACTTCTATGAGTTCATCACCCTTTTAAACCACTTTTATAAATTTTCAAAATTTACCTAATTTTCTCCAAACTTCTGATCAAGACTTGTAGTCAATGGAAAATTATGCTAATTTTTCCACAATTGTGAACAAAAATTATGCAAGAAAATTAACAAACTTTTGGTAGAAGAAAATTGTGATACTCAAAAAGTTTGAACGTTTCGTGGTATATTCACTGTAAATCGCCTTAATTCCGTGAGAGACACATTTTTTGCGAATTTTGTGTGACAGTAGCAAACTTTGTAGCAGTGAAGATTTTTCTGCTTTCCTATCACACAACATGTCCTCAATGACATTTTTCTACAATTTTCAAAATAGTTCCATTTATAGTCTGCACTATAAATCAGAAGATGTTTCAGTAGATCGAAACAAATATAGCACATTTTTTGAGTAAAACTGAAAATTGACTGAAATTTTGTCTGTGTGGACTCCAAAATTAGTGTTCATTTCCAGAAATTTTGAAGAATATAAAAGGAAAGTGATGAAAAATTTGGGCCAGAAAGCATGGTGGTGTGAAGGTTAAAAACATTGGCATTGGAGTAAAGTGCATTTCAAAAAGTAGTTTTACAGTTAACCTTAATACTAAACTTGACTGCTATAATTGCATGGAAACTGCATTTTGATCACATGTAAATGACATGCAAATGATGTCATGGTATGGGCATGCTATGAGTCTATATCTGGAAATGCTGATTGTCACTTAGCAATTCATATAAGCATGCACATATCAGTAGCATGCACTTATTGTCATGGCAGTTACATGTACATGTTATGCGCATGCTATGAGTCTATATCTGAGAATGCTGTCACTTGGCAGTTCATACAAGCATGCACATATCAGTAGCATGTACATATTGTCATGGCAGTTACATGTACATGTTATGCGCATGCTATGAGTCTATATCTGAGAATGCTGTCACTTGGCAGTTCATACAAGCATGCACATATCAGTAGCATGTACATATTGTCATGGCAGTTACATGTACATGGTATGCGCATGCTATGAGTCTATAACTGAGAATGCTGTCACTTAGCAGTTCATACATGTATAAGCATGCACATATCAGTAGCATGCACAAGATGTCAGGGCTGTTGCATGGTACTAGTATGCACATGCTATGAGTCTGTATTTGGAAATGATAACTAGTGCTTAGCAGTTCATATAAGCATGCACATATCAATAGCATGCACAAGATGTCAGGGCTGTTGCATGGTACTAGTATGCGCATGCAATGAGTCTGTATTTGGGAATGATAACTAGTGCTTAGCAGTTCATATAAGCATGCATATTTCAGTAGCATGCACATGATGTCATGGCAGTTGCATGGTACTAGTATGCGCATGCAATGAGTCTGTATTTGGGAATGATAACTAGTGCTTAGCAGTTCATATAAGCATGCATATTCCAGTAGCATGCACATGATGTCATGGCAGTTGCATGGTATGCGCATGTTATGAGGCTGTATCTGTAGCATGCACATGTAATTATTATTTTAGTGAATCCTTAATTTCACTTTGAGATAATTTCTAAAGCTTTATTGACATCTTGAAATATGAAGTGGAATATTGTAATTTTTTATTTTTAGTGGATTAAGAGAAATACAGTACTATATATTTTTTTAAGACATGAGTGCCAGATTTTTTTTACACCCAAAATTTAGTTATTTTATTCTCACTTTTTGTAAAATTTTCACTAAATTTCATCACATTTTTTTGTCCAGACAGACAAGTTCAGATATTGCCTTTAGTTTTTGATCAAAAGATTTGTCAGTTTTTATCAACATGTATTATGTATTAACTCTGTGCAGTGGTTTATCACGTGTCCGTATATACTACGTATACGTAGGAATACGTTAGACAGCATTGTTCTGCATTAGGTGTACGTTAATGTGCGCACTGTATACTTCCGGTCTCCGTAAATACACTGCTGTGTATATTTGCGTATCAGTATGTTCCGAATGTGTGAATATACGTTACGTATTCCCCGTACATACGTTGAATGTACGTGTGCGCCAACCAACGTATATTTTCGAATATTGGGAATATACGCGTACGAATACGCTAATGTATACCATATACCAACGATTTTGCCCAGTGAAAAAAGCAGACTATACAGAATTATTTTGTAGATGGTGCAGAAAGTTGACAATGGCACACAAAATGTACAGTAAGATAGATTGCTGTGGAGATAGTTTAGATTCTTAGGCCAGACTTTTATTATCCCTTGTTTTTACCGCCCGCTGCACTACAAAATCCAAGTTGCATTTTTGTGGAAGTATCATGATCAAAGTACCGAAGTCTCGCGCAGATGAGAAACAAGGTTTTACATGAAATAAAATTGTATTTCATTTCTTCTCTCCGATCAATAATCTCACTTACAATTCTTTGAGAATCACACAAATCTAATGGAAAAAATAAATTAATTTTATTTTTTTTCTGCCCTCCTCAAAAAAATTGCCTTATAAAAACCCGAGAAACAAGGAATAAAAAAAGTCTGGCCTTACCAAAAAAAAATTCATGACTTATGTCTGAGTCAATAATTGCACAAAATTTAAAAAAAATTAAATAATAAAAATATGTTGAATGACCTTTACATTCAATTCACAATAATTGTCATCATGCCAGAAAATTTCAGATCATTTCAGGTTCCAACTTTATTGCATATTTCAGTTTTATTTGTTAATGCTCTTCAACCCATGTGGATTCAAAAACATTATGTTGAATCATTCTGACTCGCTGCAATACGAAACAATATCATATCCACATGAAATATGTGTGACACTACAGAAACCTGATAATCAACACTAGATGGCGCCGTAACATTATAGAGGGCAGTATAAGTGCAATATTTGTATTCTCACCTGTTTTTTCTCAAGCTGACCACTTTGTTCTTTGTCTCTCTCCTTAAACACCGCCCTGAGGTCATTCAACTCAAACTCTGAGCTAAATTAATATGCACATTTTCCCCCTGGATAATGAACACTAGAGGGCAGTGTAACATTATAGAGGGCAGTATAAGTGCAATATTTGTATTCTCACCTGTTTTTTCTCAAGCTGAAAACTTCGTCTTTTGTCTCTCTCCTTAAACACCGCCCTGAGGTCATTCAACTCAAACTCTGAGCTAAACTAATATGCACATATTTCCCCAGATAATAAACAATAGAGGGCAGTGTAACATTATAGAGGGCAGTATAAGTGCAATATTTGTATTCTCACCTGTTTTTTCTCAAGCTGACCACTTCGTCCTTTGTCTCTCTCCTTAAACACCACCCTGAGGTCATTCAACTCAAACTCTGAGCTAAACTAATATGCACATATTTCCCTCAGATAATAAACACTAGAGGGCAGTGTAACATTATAGAGGGCAGTATAAGTGCAATATTTGTATTCTCACGTGTTTTTTCTCAAGCTGACCACTTCGTCCTTTGTCTCTCTCCTTAAACACCA